GACTGTTTACTTAGCCTGGCGGGCGAAGGACACTGTCTCAGCTGAACTCTGGACACACACACACACATACACTGATATGCACACACTGATCCCCCCTCCCTTTCCAAACGCCTTCGATGCTTGTGCCCAACCGGGGAAGATGGCAGTCGACTGGACCAGCGCAGACATGCTGCAAGACCGGATGCGCTGTCTACACCGGCTCTCTCTTACCCTTTACCCGCCCCTGTTGCTTGTCTTGTGTTTCTATGGTGCATTGATAGTCATGTGCTTTTTGTGCTGAGGTGTTTTTTCTGTTATCAAACTGTTCTCTCACTAGGTTTTTTTTCTCCTCCTCTTACCTCATGTTATGTATTTTCGTTGTTTTTTTTCCTATCAGCCTACCTTTCTGACATGTCTCCCCAATGTGATGTTTGTGTAAAGTTGGTCAGAAGGTTCCTTTGTAAGTGCGCATGCGCCATTAGCGTGCTGCCTGCTGTAACCCTAATTTCCTTCGGGATTAATAAAGTATTCTGATTCTGATTCTGATTCTGATGGACCGTACCCAACACAAGCCTGGGGCCTCAAACCGCCAGGATTTTTCTCCAGGAGACTCGAACTCCTCTGGCGCTAGAGGGAGTGTTCGCCCAGGGCGCCAAACAGGCTAGTACCGCCGCTGGCGATAAACAAACAAGAGAGAAAAGCCAATCAGCTGATCATTGATCAGTTTCATGATTGAAGTAGCAACAGGAGAGGGAGGGGGAGAGAATGAGAGAAGAAGAGGCTGTACAGCATAAAGACAGAATAACTCCAGCTTTGTGTCTTTTTCCATTCTAGCTGAAGTACGGGACAAACTGCGTTCCTTCTCAGCTCAATACGAAATGTGTAATATTTTCTCTGAATGAGGGATGATTCCATTTTTTATGGGACGGTTGCAACTCTACTAACTAACCTTATGAATAAAATAAAGTTCGCAATCAGCAACATGATAGCACCCACCCAGCTGTATAGAAACTCCATCATTCTAGCTAGTACGCAGTACGATTTATTGTAACTGAGTGTAAAAATTCAGCACTACAAAAATAAACTATACCTAAACTTGGTTTATATCTTACCCAGATAGACTGCAGGTCATAACTTCTTTCCTGAAGTTCAGTTCACCTGACACTCGGACCGGCAGCCGTATTTGATGTTTTGAAAATGAGATGGGGCTGGACTAATATGGGCTCAAAATGTGGTCATAAATATTTTGTGCTTGTAAATCAGTTTTGTACTTGAAAATCAGGATTTGTATGTCTAAAAAGAATTTGTGTGTGCGTAAAAAAGATTTGACCGCCAAACCCATCTGTTCTCTGATTGGATTGTTACATTTGTGATTGACATGACATTGACCAATCAGATGAAAGGAAGAAATATAGGGTCAAAATTCGTACTTGTAACTTGCAGGGTTTTTTTTGGCTAAGTCCACACACAAATCTTTTTTACACACACACAAATTCTTTTTACACATACAAATCCTGATTTACAAGTACAAAACTGATTTACAAGTACAAAATATTTATGACCACAGTTTGAGCCCATAGACTAGCAGTCTTCTTATGATCATTTGTTAAAAAAAACTTCTTTTGTGTGTGTGTTATAGGTAAATAAATCAAAGTGCTTAATTAACTGAATTTGTGCTTTTAGTCAGCAACACTAGAAAATCATTATGTCATGTTAATTCATTTAACACCCAGTAATAATGTGATTAGTTATTGTGTGTTAAGTTATACTGATGTTGAATTGAAATGCTACTGACCCAGTTGTATAATCATTGTTCACATGTGTTTGTGAAGGTTCTCAGTCATCCAGGTCATCGTAGTCAAAGGAGCTTGCAAAGAAAAGCGTCTGGACTTCTTTAAGTTGCTTGAAGACATTTCACCTCTCATCCGAGAAGCTTCTTCAGTTCAATTCAATCAGTTCAGTTCATTGTTCACATGTGTTTTTTTTTTTTTTAGGTTTGTACCAGTGATGGCAACTTCAGAGTCGCAGAACTCTCTTGCAACCCCTGGCTCTCCTCCATCCGAGATTTCAGCCCCCATATCCAGCCTAGCTATCTCTGTTCCCTCTGTGACTTTAAGTCCCTCTGGTGAGGAAGAGCGCCCTTTGCTGCATCAGCTGCACAAGTCCTCAAGCCGGGATGTACAAAAGAGAACCTCTTCACACTACAATCATGGCCATGTGGCAGATAGCTTGCCATCTAGTCCACTGTTCGCTATGGAGAATACTGACTACCAAACCATACAGGACACCAGAGCTGCCAGCTATATGTTTTCAATAGCACCTGTGAAATTAATTAACACAAACAACAATGTAAGTGACTGCAGCAACAATAGTGTCACTGACCATGTGGTTGATTATTTGAGGTTAAATGGTGACAGCATACTAGTAAGTGATACAGAGGAGCCTCAGGGGGAACACATACCCTTCCTAAGTGCAGACAGGAATACAGTCCTTTTACTCAGGGCTGTAGATAGCGGCAGGACTAACCCAGCATCACCAAATGATGACCTACCAGTAAAGTCATCTAGCCTCATCAACCAACAAGATTTAATTGCTGCGTAAAGTAAAAAAAAAAAAAAGAAAGAAAAGAAATTGCTAAGATTACTTCACATGGAGGAAGAATATAAACAACCTTTAAACCTTTATTTTCGATAAATTCTCATAATTTATTTGCTGTGTAAAGACTTTTAAAGACAAATGAAGAATGAAACTTTTATTTTAGAGATGTAGTAAATAAAGTTTTATAAAAAAAACAGTACAAATGTCTTGTAGGTAAAGTGCCATACGCTAGTATGCAGCAGTTCATAGTATAGTTAAAAGAATATTTCAGTGCAGACAAATATCAATGGTGCCTTTCTGTTTAGTATGCTTAAGGGGCCGTAATATTGCATACTGGGCCATGTATCACCCTCTTATTCTTCAAGTTAATAATCAGATGCTCTGTGTTGTCTGCCTTTAACATCTTGCACTTTAGGGCACCCACTGACATATTTGAAATCAAATGTTATGGGTTCAAAGTGCATGCTATGTTCTTAAATGCTGTCATGAAAAAATGAGCAGACAATTGACTTGAATTGATGGTTTTCTTACCTGATGTCCTACTTTTATCACAGTCTTATGGTATATATTATTAGTAAGCTTATAACCTGGATTCCATCAAAATGTCAGAGATCTTAACTCATTCACTGCCAGCCATTGGCAGTGAATGAGTTAAACCCATTGACTCATTCACTGCAATTGACGGCTATAGACGTCAATGGCAGTGAATGAGTTAATAATTTTATTCATCACTGGACTACACTGTGGATGACCTGCCAGAAATGAATATTGTAGCTGTGAGATAAATATACATTCATTAAAGTTTGCCTCAACAAGGTGCATAAGATACACACAAAGAGTTGTATTTACATTCGACCATTTCTATGTTTAAGAAGTATTCACTGAATTGTATGGCATTGTTATAACAATTAAACAATGTTCATGCTTAAAGAGTAGCAGCCTAATAATCCTAAGGTTTCTGGTATGGGTTAAGCTGGATGCTGGTTTTCACATGCCCCATAATCCTCCTTAGAAGTTTTATTTATTCCTATGCTGACAGATGTTCTGCCTAAGTATAAACTGTCTCAGTTAAGGTGGTACAGTCAACGACTACTAGTGTGAAGACCAGCAATTCTTTAAAATAGTATCTTTAAATCAACAATATCTACAAAGTAAATTAGCTACAAGATCTATGTCTGATTTGTTCTTGTGTGAATCCAACCAGTGCCTTGTATTGCACTGTGGATCTTAGAGAAGTGCTGAATGTATAAATTGTGGTAATTTCCTTTAATTTAAACCATATTTCTGAAAAAAAAAAATTGAAATTGAAATTTCCCCCCAAATTAACTTGTTATCCTCTTGCTGTAAGAGTCAAGTTCAGGTTTTTCCTTTTAATTTAAATGACCTGTCTTGATATACAATTACAATTAATTACAACAGATTGAATATAAACAATGCAAGATATACAGTCATTTCATCTGCACACATTAGTACATAGAGAAAAAAATATCTTGCACATTTTGTCACTTGAATGGTTAGCATAACACAGAGAACATTGTTTTGAAATGGGGGTGTCTTTAATTTATGTAAATATATCAGGAAAATCTCCTGCATTGTTGTTTCTCACTGAATATCACATTATGTGTTTTGTGTGTTAGTGTCAAAGCATTTGGGATTGAAAAAGAACTTTCAGTTGTTCTGTCTCACTATTGATTGATACAATGAAAGTCTTGTGCAGCTGTAATAATAAATAAAACACACATTTCACATTTGAGCATACATGTGAACATGATTTATATGTCAAATCTATGGCTTTTTATCAGTTTGTTTTTTTTTTGGTAAGGACTGATCATTTTAAAGAACTGAAGATGAATTCTCTTCAGTTCTTTAAAGAGAACTTTGTAATTAGACCTTCTGGACCGCTCATGGCAGAACAAAGTCCCAACAATGATAGGAATTAGGACAAGACTCCTGGTGTCTAGATGCTGGCAGTGGTGGAATTGAGGATGAAGGCTTGGATGTGGGTTCTGAATGGAAGGAAATGTGGAGGAGTCGGGTTGCACATATGAGAGTCTGAAAGACAGAATGACGAAACAGCAGTGAGATTTAAAGCACACACATAAGAGAGGCTGATTGTCTTGCAGCAGGCAGGCAAGAAAATTATCCAGCTTAGAGTGATGATGTCAGTATTGTCAGAGTTGTTTGACACTGGGAAAGTGGATGTGATGTAAAGAATGGGCTTGCAGTCAAAAACCCAGGAAAGCAGGCAGATTAGTGAATAATTTCTTATAGTAAACACTATAGTGTTTAGACTACACAACTTCAAATTAAGTCCTGGCTGCATATTACACTGAAAATAAATAATAACACAAATTTGTACTCCCTTTACATACATGTTATTCTATGTGCTGAGCAATGCCATTTTGTTTTAATTCTGTATTTTACTTGTATCTTTGATACCCATTAAACATGTAATTTTTTTTTTCATGTAATGTCTTCTTTCATGAAAGCAAATAAAAGTAATTTTTGAGCACAAAATTTTGATTTGTGTTCATGACTTATTGAGTGCATAAGGTAAAGCTGCAGATCTTGCCAAGCTTTAAGCAGTTTAGGAAAGCTAAAGACACATGGGTAGCGGGACAACTTCAGTCCTGTATCATTTAATTAATATAATTAATAATGAATTCATCTTACTGCTGGCTATCATATGATGTATATTAGCTTGCTGATTAAAGGTAATATATATATTACTAATTTATGATATATATTATAATATATTGTAGTAAACTTACCATTTAGTTCACCTTTAGTTCAGAATGAACCCAATCCTGGCACCATTCCTCTTCTGCAGCTTTCTGACTACTTCACTCGTCACCATGGCAACCACCTCTTACCCTCCTTTAGACCCGCATGAAAAGAGAGAGTTCTCCAAGCCCAGAAACTCGTGACCATGTTTACCTTCTGGTGCACTCACTAGTGAGACAACCCTCCCCCTTAAATTCCTTAGAGAAGGGGACTTTCTCTGTAATGTCTAATAGTATCAGAGGAGCAGTCCACCTCCAAAACTTCTCCGCAATACACTGTGTGCAGTAAATGACAAAACACAAACACACATATGTGATGCTAATTATGAGATATTAGCCTTACAGACAAACATAAATCGCAACATGGAGGCTTGGGGACCTCATTTGTTCACACCACATCAATAAGATGCTCTCTGATGGTTAGAAGGGATGGCTACTGTGTCACACATAGCTTTGCACTACTAAAGTGTTTTTGGTAACATGAGACTGACCAAGACAGAAGTACGAAGAGTGTGAAGAGAGATAGTGAAATGCGCCAGTGCTTCTACAGGTTGTCAGACTGACAACCTGTGGAAGGCAGTAATTGGTGTGCAATATTTTTACAGGAGGGCTAGTGGAGACAATGACATCTAAGGATAGGAATTAAATTCTGAGTAGTTCAGTTGTACTGGGTCCCAATTTCCAGTAGTTTAATGCTTTATAAATGTTAGTCTGCTTGCTTAACGATTTTGCTTATCGGTTCCACAAAGTTAGCAATAGTTCTTTTCCTATTACAGCTACATCCACTTCTGTCGTGCCTAGGCTGCTCACTAGGGCTGGGTATCATCACTGATTTCTATAATCCATTCGATTCC